GCTTCATCGATTAACATTACGGTTTTGCTTTTGATTCTGCTAAATCGATTTTCGTTATGCTTATTGAATCTGCTTCATCGATTTTGATAGGCTAATTGATTCTGATCTGGTTTTTTATACAACTAATCAGATGTGAAGATAACAAAATTGGAAATCATCGACGCCATTGTGCAACGCCTTGAGGCTGTGGCTGATTTCGTTCTTCTGATTGCAGTTGCAGAGGATCAGATTTTCCGAGTCCATGACGCTGTGAATCGATCTCAAACGAGTGTGACTGCGGTTTTGAACCAGGCTCCACCACCGCAGGACGACGACTCCGATATCACAGGCATGACTGGGGCATTAGGAGGTAGATAAGAGTTAAATCAGCAACAAATCTTTAACAAAAATACTATACCTAGAAACATATTTAACGAACCAACAACCGTCTTGAAATAAACCAAGAGGCCATATTTTATCATCAAGCCATAACAAGATAAAATTGAAATACAAAATTACCTCTGCATTCCAAGTATTGATAGGTCCAGGCATTTCTCAAGGTTACTTCCTCCAGCAGTTGAATGTCGTGAAGCTTGAGATCCGGACCTTCGGGAGTCTCGTTTCTTTTGTCACCCAGAGAGTTTTGGTTTTCAGTGAAAAGAATTGGCCGGTAAATCGAAACCATTATGATTTTTTACAAAATTAAATCAAACCACAATGCGGTTCAATTTCATTCGGTTACTTTAAATTTCGGTTCGGTTTTTATATGAAAAATCAACCTGCGACTAGAGAAGATAATAAGCAGATAATTTTTAATAAATCAGATTCCGACCAGAAGATAATTTTTTTTTTTTGATAATATTTGCCTCTCCTCGTCATCTTCTTCGATCTGATCGACGGCGAATCGAGTCCGATTAACGATCGGATATGATTCGCCGTTGTTCTCACTGCAATCAGAATGGCCACAACTCTCGAACATGTCCTAATCGTGGGGTTAAACTCTTCGGTGTTCGTCTCACAGAAGGCTCGATCCGAAAAAGCGCCAGTATGGGTAATCTCAGCCACCACTCGAGCTCTGGGTTAGGTGGCCATACCGGAATCGGGTCGGGTTCTCCCGGCGATGTCCCCGACCACGACGGTTACGCTTCCGAGGATTTTGTTCCCGGCTCTTCTTCTAGCCGCGAGAGAAAGAAAGGTAAGGTTTTTTTTTTTACATTTTGATTTCAGTAACGTTATCAGGTTTGCGGTTTGACGAAACTTGTATGCATAATAACCCAATTTCGTTAGGGGAATAGACCTCGATTGCTGTGTGTGTTTCTCTATTGTATGTATTGTCTGATTTTGTTTTACGGATTTTGGTTACGGTGTTAGGGAATCCGTGGACAGAAGAGGAGCATAGGATGTTCTTGTTGGGTCTGCAGAAGCTTGGAAAAGGTGATTGGCGAGGTATCTCCAGGAACTATGTGACAACGAGGACACCTACTCAAGTTGCTAGTCATGCTCAGAAGTACTTCATCAGACTATCCAATGTGTCTGGCCGCAAGAGACGTTCTAGTCTCTTTGATATGGTTCCTGATGAGGTTTGTTAGTCTCCTTCAAGTTGTAATTTTGGCCTGAATGGATTATGCTTACAAAGTTCTCCTTAATTATGGGATAATTTCCTTTGCAGGTAACTGATGTTCTTATGGAGTCTCAAGAATTGCAAGTGGAGAACATTGATTCCGTGGAAACACAAATGCAGGGGGCCGAAGAGTGTGAATCCATGAACTCCACCAACTCTAGTGCTGAGGAGCCACCGGCTGCTGATTCTTACAGGCAAGAAGAAGCCACCCAACCGCAGCTACAATCACCTGGTTCATTCCCTGTGGTATATCCAGCTTACTTGGCACCATTTTACTCATTCCCACTCTCGATATGGCCTGCTGGGTATGTTACTGAGCCGTCAAAGGAAGAGACTCACGAGATTGTCAGGCCAACAGCTGTGCACTCAAAAGCAGCTCCCATTAATGTCGATCAGCTTCTCGGTATGTCTAAGCTCAGCCTCGGGGAGTCAAGCCAAAACGAACAGCCTCTCTCACTGAAACTCATTGGAGGGTCGTCTTCGAGGCAATCAGCCTTTCATCCAAACCCGTCCTCTGGTGGTTCGGACATGAAAACCGTGATTCATGTTGTCTAAAGATCTACCTAATGCATTGGTCTCTCAGGTTTAAGGCGTAGCCAAGTGACTCACTGTCATTTTAACATGACTATCAAGAATGGCAAATTTGCAGACAGGTCCCGGGGATAGGCTTTCGGGTTAGCTCTTGGTTATATATTAACTTCAAAGTCAGAAAAAATAAGATGATTTCATTAGAGTTTGTTTAACTGCTTAGTTCAGCTTTGTTTATTACATGGAAAGAAAAGGAGAACAACTAATGGTAACATGTAATTGTGTTTTGGTGTAGCATAACCTTTAATTTCGTTCAAAGATGTACTAAAACTGCTTAGCCTATTGGCTTTTTAGGGATTTTTTCATATCACAAGTTTTGAGAAAATGAAGATATCTTCTTGTTCCATCCCTGCGGATTATTGCCAAGTCTATCCATAACCACAGATACTTCTCAGGGATCAATTTTGGGCTTAAGATGTGACGAAGCCCATTACAGAATGTTTCTTATGGCCCAAATTTCGAAACGCACCGTGTTAATAGTGTCTACACACACGAGCAAAAACCACAGAGCCGAAATGATGGCGTCTCAAAAACCGATGAACATTTTCAGTCCCAATAGAGCAAGTCCTCGGCCATGGCCGAACAGGAAGAAGCAAACTAACAAATCAGCCATTTTTCTCTGCTCCGTTTCTCTGCTTGCTGTGTTCGTCTTCTTCCTCACTTACTCCGAGATACCCAAATCCCTCTTCTCGATCTCTGCCTTTTCCGGATCCGTACAATTCCCTCAGTGCAGATCCCAGATACTAACACGAACTCTTCTAGGTCAGAGGTTTCTCTGGTACGCACCTCACAGTGGATTCAGTAATCAGCTCTCAGAGTTTAAGAATGCTCTTCTCATGGCCGGAATTCTCAATCGGACCCTAATCGTTCCTCCGATTATGGATCATCACGCCGTTGCTCTCGGTAGCTGTCCGAAATTTAGGGTTTTGAGCTCGAGCCGGTTACGAGCCTCTGTTTGGAATCATTCTATTGACCTTCTTAAGACTGGCAGGTCAGTCACACTTGATTTTTAGCTACAAAACTCTCCCTTGATTTTGTGATTTATCATTGGAGCTTACGAATTTTGGTGTTTACAGATACGTTTCGATGGCTGATATTGTAGACATTTCGTCGCTGGTGTCTTCTTCGGCTGTACGAGTGATTGATCTAAGGTACTTTGCATCTCTACTGTGTGGTGTTGACTTGGAGACTCTATGCTCTAGTGAATTAGCTACTGAACAGTCTAAAGCTTACGAATCACTGGAACAGTGTGGTTATTTGCTGTCTGGAGTTCGTGGTAATGTAGATAAATGTTTGTATACTGTGGATGAAGATTGTCGAACTACGGTTTGGACGTATAAAAATGGAGATTCTGATGGGAAATTAGATTCATTCCAGCCTGATG